TCCCTCCCTCCCTCCCTCCCTCCCTCCCTTCCATCCTTCCTTTCCAGTACTAGGAATTAAACCTAGGACTGTGCAAATGTGGCAAATTCCCTACTGTGCTGCACCCACAGCCCTGAAAACCCCACTCTCAATCCCTTACTCTATCAACATGTGTCTTGTTTTGAGCCTGGCTTTCGAATCTGCAAGACAGAGAGCCTCATACTGGCCTCTATCAACAATTAAGCACAAAGACTCATGTGGTGATCTATATCACGTGTTTCCACAGCTACCTTACTACAAAGTCTGGAAGGTTCCTGTGGCGGTGGAGAAGGTCACAGAAGCACACTCAGGGACTGAACTGTCGCATGATGTGTGCCCCCAGCTCTACACACACACACACACACACACACAATACACACACACACACTCCATCTTCTGCCACCAATGCTGCCTGGCTCCCTTTTCCTCCACTCCCTCTGCTGGGCCCCCTCCTCGCTCTACCCACTCTCCTCCACTTCACTCTATTTCCACCTTCCCACCATTAAAGTCTCTTTTTCCCCCAGCCATGATGGATCCTTTCTAACTTCTGCTTTTACTAATGTTTACTTCCACCTGGACGTGCATACGTAAGGATTACACACTAGACTACGCCTGGGAACATATGTGGAAATGTCTTTCTGGGCCTGGATTAACACTCATAAAATAAAATTTTCTAGTTCCACACAACTTTCTGTAAATTCGTTTTTCTTCACAGCTGAATACTGTGTACACACACAGCATGTTTTCATTATCCATTTGCTATCTGTAGAACGGCACTTGGCTGTGTTCTTCTTGTCTTCTAGGTGAGCGATGCAGGTGCTTCCTGGGGATAGTTCCCACTGAGGGACAAGGTAAGCATCATGCTGACAACCAGGGCTCCTCACAATTTGAACAGCTCCAATTGTTTTTTTGGAAATTGAGGAAATGATGGGATGGTTGAATCTAGTTTTCCTGTGAAGTCAACAGAGGCTCTGTTCATGCGCCTTACAGCTCTGATGTGCTGGAAGATGGTAGCCAGCCTCACAAGGTAACAGGAAACTGGTGGAGTCTGCAGCTTCCTGAACCATAAATATTTCCATTGTGGCCAATCTCAAGCTCTGTGGGTCAGGAAGAGGCTGAGTTGGAATACTATTGCCTTGAGTGTGCTTTCTTCTTTCCATCACCTATTCAGTTTGTGCTTGCTGTCTCGATATCTGCCCATCCAGCAAGAACAGAGGCTTTATGAAGCTTCAGAGAGGACTGTGCAGGTCTTAGGCATTCTTTGGCCCATCAGCTGTCTTGCCTGGTTGGTAGTGGAACTTTTACAAATTTCCATTTCCCTTCTGTCCCCTTTATCTATTCTGCTCCGCCCCACATCCAACACAACTCCAGCTGTGCTCCCAGCAAGGGTGCACAAGCAGCTTGAATGGAAACACGGGATGCTGGTGGAACCGGAGCCCACCCAAGCTCTTAAATGCTCAGATCCTTCTGCCCTCATATTTAATTTTATGTATCATTTTTTATAGATTGGGCGGTGGTGAATCTGCACACCTGTCTGCAGGTGTCTGCAGAGGACAGAGGAGGAGTGGGATCCCCTGAAGCTGGAGTTGCAGGTGTTGTCTCACCAGACTGGGGTGCTGATATCTGAATGCTGGTCCTCTTCAAGAGTAGCAAGTGCTCTTAGCCACTCACCAGCCCCTGTACATCCTCTGTAAAGAGTAACGACAGGGTCTCCACTGGAATCAAAATAATGTGCTGACTCTTAAGCTGGAGAGTGGACATTCCCAGAATCTCTGGCAGTCTTATGCCAAGGTTTTGTTTATGTTTTCCCTCCCACCTGTGGGCAGTATTTATATCCATCTCCTTGAGGCCCTAGGATTCCCTTGACTCACCAAGTTCCTAGGACTTGACAAAGGTGCTTTCGGTCTTCATATTGAAAGCTTGCAGTAGCAAGGTGTCTTACACCACTACCTCTTACATGAGCCCACAGGGAGTACTTAACACTGGAAGCTTGGTCCCCAAGGTAGAATAACTGAGACGTGATAAGGGACCTTTAGAGATGGAGGTTTAAGATCATTTGGAGTGCTGCTTAAAAGGTATCTAAGTAATTCCCTTGCACTAACCCTGAGTTACTTCCCATGAAAAAGTGTTAGAAGAAGAAAAAGGAGGAGGAAGAAGAGGAGGAGGAGGAAGAGGAGGAGGAGGAAGAGGAGGAGGAGGAAGAGGAGGAGGAGGAAGAGGAGGAGGAGGAAGAGGAGGAGGAGGAGAAGGAGGAGAGGAAGAGGAAGAGGAAGAGGAAGAGGAAGAAGAAGAAGAAGAAGAAGAAGAAGAAGAAGAAGAAGAAGAAGAAGAAGAAGAAGAAGAAGAAGAAACAGGAAACAGTGTGGCATCTCTCTCCCTCTGGCTTCATGTTGGTTTGAAGTATATGATCCCACCATGATGCTATGCCCACAGAGTAATAAGATAACTAAGTCAGTTTTTCAAGAACCTGGCCTATGCTATTTGGACTTTACAGCATCCAAAACTGGGAACTTAGTAGACCTTTTTGTTTACAATTTATCTAGCCTCCAGTCTCTTGTTATAAGAACAGAAAGTATGTTAGTAATAAAACCAAAGGATCAAACCTTCCAGTTATGCGTTCTGAATACTTCTATCTGTCCTTTCTGTTTATAGGAGTTTTATGGCTCTCCATTGGGGCTGAAGTCTTGGATATCTTCCTGATACTGACAGGTGTCCTCCTCTTGGGCTTCAGTGTGAGCTGTTACAGTTCCGGATGCAACTGGCTCAACGTGGATGCCTCAGTGGCTATCCTCATGGTGCTTGCAGGTATTTTCTAGCAGGAGCAGTTCCTCCCAGCCCACTTCAAGGAGGACATAGAAGGACAAGGAAGCCGTAGAATAGGCCAGCTGGATCCCTCCAGTCAATGGCCAGCTCAATAAAACGGCTGGTCTTCTGAATAAGTTACTGGACTGATTCCACTGGGTGGAAATAGTGTTGTAAAGGAAGAGGATGGGCACAGGTGGAGAGAAACATTTACTAGTTCACGTTACAGGCAGGGAAGAGACTGCACTGGTACTGGGAATAGCAATGAGTTCACATAGCAGAGAGGTTAGGCTTGAGCACACAGAGGAGTCCTCCTGAGGCCAAGCCTCTGCTACAAGTATATAAGTATACTGTATATATTTAATATATGCTTGTTCTTATGCAAGTATATATTAAGTAACACTAGAAGAGTTACTTAACTGCTATAAGCTAAGTGTCATAGCTAGGCTCTGGTGAAGACAAAATAGGAGTGTACCTACTATATAGATTTCAGTATCTTAAAAATTATCACCAACGTTTGGCATAAATGTTCCACAAAGAACTCTTTACTTTTTAACACTACCTCTGCTCTCCAAGCAACTTAGCTTGGGCTTCTAAGGTCCTTAAGTTAATGTCTCCACCAAGATAGGATCCTGAACATGTGGCTTCCTTCCAGCCTTCTGACAGACGCACTAAGTACTGTTAACGTGTACCAATACAATTTGTGCGTCACTGCTGTGTCTGATGAACTTAACACATCTTGCCCAGGTCACAGCTATGATAAGTGGAAAGATAAACTCCAACTGCTACATCTTTCATAGCAAAGAACAAGGCCATGAACGTGTGGAAATTCCTGCTCAGCTCCTGGTATCTACTCTGTTCCTCTTGGTTATGACCAGGCCTGCTTGTGGGTGTCCCTTCAATTTCTTTTTTTTTTTTTCTTTTTTTTTTTTTTTATTGGATGTTTTATTTACATTTCATATGTTGTCCCCTTACCCCATCCCCCACCCACCCAGGAACCCCCAATCCCCTCACACCTCCTCCTTCTTCTTTGTGGATGTAACCTCTATCTACCCCTCCACTCCCACCTCCCCACCCTCAAAACTCCCACCCCCTGGGGCGTCCAGCCTTCATGAGGTCAAGGATCTCATCTTCCACCTGTGCCCAGCAGGGCCCTCCACTCTTATATATTCAGCTAAGGCCCTGGATCCCTCCATAAGTGCTCCCAGGCTGGTGGTTTAGACCCTGGGAGCTGTGGTTGGTTGGTATTGTTGCTCTCCTCATGGGGCCACAAATCCTTTCAGCTCCTTCAGTCTTCACTCTAACTCCTCCATTGAGAACCCCATAATCACTTCAATGGCTAGTTGTGAGCATCTGCCTCTGAATATGTCAGACTCTTGAAGACCTCTGAGGAGACATCCATATCAGGCTCTTATCAGCATGCACTTCCTGACTTCCACATCAGCATCTACCTTTGGTGACTGCACATGGGATGGGTACTCAGGTGGAAAGGTCTTCAGACGGCCCCTCCTTCAGTTTTTGTCCCTCGCTTTGTCTCCATATTTGCTCCCTTGAGTATTTTGTTGCTCCTTCTAAGAAGGACCGAATCACCCCCACTTGGTCTTCCTTCTTTATGGACTTCATGTGGCCTGTGAGTTGCATCTTGGGCATTTTAAGGTTCTGGGCTAATATCCAATAATCAGTGAGTGAATACCATGTGTGTTCTTTTGTGATTGGCTTACCTCACTCAGTATGATAATTTCTAGTTCCATCCATTTACCTAGGAACCTCTCAAATTCATTGTTTTTAATAGCTGAGTAATACTCCATTGTGTAAATATACCACATTTTTTTAATCCATTCCTCAGTTGAAGGACATCTGGGTTCTTTCCAGCTCCTGGCTATTATAAATAAGGCTGCTATGAACATAGTTGAGCATATGTCCTTATTATATGTTCGAGCACCTTCTGGGTATATGCCTAGGAGTGGTATAGCTGGATCCTCGGGTAATGCTATGTCCAATTTTCTGAGGAACCGCCACACTGATTTCCAAAGTGGTTGCACCATCTTGCAGTCCCACCAACAATGGAGGAGTGTTCCTCTTTCTCCACACCCTCGCCAGCATCTACTATCACCTGAGTTTTTAATCTTAGCCATTCTGACTGGTGTGAGATGGAATCTCAGGGTTGTTTTGATTTGCATTTCCCTGACGACTAAGGATGCCGAGCATTTCTTTAGGTACTTCTCGGCCATTCGAGTTTCTTCTTCAATTTCTACCGTGGGGATGAGGTATCAGATGGAGTGTTTCAGAATACATACATGCACATACTACATAAGGATCTGTGGATGCTAGAGGATCCAGCATCCAGCACGTGAAGGGTAGAGAAAATTCCCACTGTGCTTTGTTCTTAAGAGTGACTCATGAAGCTTTGCTTCACAGGACTCCTGGGCATGGTGGCTCACATGATGTATACAACTAGTTTTCAAATCACTGTGAACCTAGGACCAGAAGATTGGCGGCCTCAGACATGGGACTATGGCTGGTCCTATTGGTAAGTCTCTTGGTTACAAGCATTGATGCACCAGAAAAGATGAACATAGATTTTTGTAGGTAGATAGACATTGTGATCGAGCCGATACCTGCTACTCTTGTGGTTACTGACTGGTATTATAACCTTTCTATAACCCAGTCTTCTTGGTTGTAGAGTAAAATTAGCCACGTTGACTTGCTTAAAGTTTTATAATTTAGTTTCATATTTAAATTTTTAATACAAGATATTTTGATCATATTCTTTCTCCTTCACCAACTCTTCCCAGATCCTCTTTACCTCCCAACCTCCTTAATATCATGCCCCCCTCAAAAAAATCAAAATCAAGACAAATAAACAAAGAAAACCCAATAATACAAAAAATACCAAAATATATCAGAGAGAGAGAGAGAGAGAGAGAGAGAGAGAGAGACTTCATCTTGTGTTGACCAAATACTCCTATACTCCTGAGTATAGAGCCTGCCCAGAAATGTTTATTGATATACCCTTTGACACTCCTAGGAGAAAACAGATTTTTCCTTTCCCAGAAAGAATCGATCACAAGCATGCTCTTGGTTAGAGGTGAGAGCCTATGCCTGTTTAGCCTTCTCAGTACTGAGATTTTGTCGAATTTAAACCTGCAGCGATCTTGTTCATGCTGTCACAGTCTTTGTGGATTCATAGGTGCTTTGGTCCTATTGTGTCTGGGAGACACTGTTCCCTCAGAGTCATCCACCACATCTGACTCTAACCGTCTTTCTGCCTCCTCTTCCCCATAGATCTCTGAGCCCCCAGGGGAGAGATTAATAAAAAACACCTCATTTGGAGCTAAATACTCCAAAGTCTTTCACTCTCTGCACATTGCTGAGTTGTGGGTCTCTGTGTTAATTACCATCTACTGCAAGAAGAAGCTTCTCTGATGAGGGCTGATTGATTCTCTGTTCTATGAGTATAGTGTCAGTAGATGTCATTTTATTCTTGTATTACTTTATAGAATGATAGTAGTAGGTTTTCTCCTAAGATTCATGACCTAACTTACTAACTCAGATTCTCAGCCAGTTTAACAGTGTTAGGTATGGATTCCATCTTGTGGAGTGGGACCTAAGTCCAATCAAAAAAGTGACACTGTTGCACCGTATATCTTGCAGGGAACTGTTGTAGGTTGCAGGGTTTTGAGCTGTGTGATATTGGTGATCACCGCTCTCCTCTAGCATACAGAACACCTTCCAGTACCATGAACACTAGTCGGTAGGAGTGAAGCTTCTGCCTGGGTGTCAGCTCGATTCCTTCATCTTCAATGACATATCTAAGTTGTGTCTTCAGCAATAAGGCTTCAGCTTGTGGAGAATAAAGATGTTATATTTACAAACTACTTGGCAGATTAAAGTCTAGATTTTTCTTAAAAGATTTATTTTTTAATTTTTATTTCATATATATACATATATGTGTGCATATATATATATATATATATATATATATATATATATATATATAGTGAGTACACTGTAGCTGTCTTCAGACACACCAGAATAGGGCATCAGATCCCATTACAGATGGATGTGGTTGCTGGGAATTGAACTCAGGACCTCTGGAAGAGTAGTCAATGCTCTTAACCGCTGAGCCATCTTATTCATTTTATATATATATGAGTACACTGTCGCTATCTTCAGACACACCAGAAGAGGGCATCAGATCTCATTACAGATGGCAGTGAGCCACCATGTGGTTGCTGGGAATTGAACTTAGGACTCAGTGCTCTTAACCACCTAGCCATCTCTCCAGCCAAAGTCTAGATTTTTTAACAACGATTGGAGAATTCTTTTCCTGAGATAGACCCTTTTAGAGCTAGCTTCTATTTCTATTGGAAAGACATGACACACAAGGTGTATCTCTAGCAGAAAGACTCAGTCATGCCATACAAGACTCTATGGGAATTTCTTTGTAACTTCTTGTTTTTACAGTGCTAGAGATCAAACCAAGGGACTCATGCATGCTGTACTTCCCCACAAATCTGCTTCTCCGGCTCCAAATATATTGTATCTTAAAAATAAATTCACTGCTACTCACATTGTCATCTCACACAATATCCTCTAAAGCTGGGGGAACAACACCAACTTCAAAATGGAGTCATTGGCGTCAAAACCTGACAAAATAGAACCAAAGAAAGTCAGACATTGAGAGCACTCACTCGTAATTGCTCTGATGCCTGGAACTTTTGAAAAGTTAAAAAAACAAAATTCTAGGCAGAAACTTACTGTAGGTTACACTAAGACAACTAGAAGCATAGGGAAAGTCAGCCACTTAAATAAGAACCTCAACACACTCTGTGTAGCATAAGCTTGACCCCCAAATCATTAGGTCAGCTGTACCACCAAGATTACAAATCTTACCTAGCAACTATGCACACCAGCCAATCACAGCTTCCCAGCTCCCTACGGCCACAAGACAGCTTATCCACTTTTCTTTTTCAATAACCAACATTTCCCTCTGTTCTCTAGAAATGCCAGAGGCTACCCCTGTCAGCCCAGGTGTTCCGGATTGCACTTTTATTCATTATTTGTGCCAAATAAAATCTTTACTGGAAGAACTATCTTTATAGTTTCATTTGGTGCTGACAGTTATTTTCCTGTCTGTAAAACTCAGTTTTGGCAGTCACTCCTCCATTCTGCTGTTAAGCTCCATGATGCACCTGTTTCTAAACCCTTCTCAACTTTGGTCTCCCCAGTCTGAGGATGTTAATATTCATAACTGGGAATCTGTACATTCTGCCTTCCATCTGGGTCACTGGAGTGTCTTCCTTCTTAACTGGGTTTGAGGCTCCATCATCAGCATGATGCACAGTTGAAAGATCAGTGGAGAGAGGGTGGCCACTTTAATCCTTGCATATCCAGAGTGATGCTTACTTGGTACTCTGGGATTGGTCATCCAGCAACGAAAAACAATGCCCAAAAATCTTGAAAATCATTTGCCCTTGTTTTTGAGGCATTGTTCTGTTTTCTTCCCGAGTTCATTGCTGCTGTTGAGGGTTTAACACCATTCTGACTCAGTCTTCTGCTTTCTTGTTAAGCATCAGGATGTTCCCTGGTGGGGTGTTCTTTCCACTACCTTCCTCCTACTTTCATGGGCATGGCAAGCTGCTTAGCTTGCATGCACATTTCAGGGAAGTTTTCCGTGTGTTATTTCTTTCACTATTTCTTCTCCTTGGTTTTCTGTTCGCTTAGAATTCTTCCCAGCTCGGTCCTATTCAAAGGTCATATTTCTTTTCTGACCTAGTTTCTTAGTCAGGGTTTCTATTCCTGCCCAAAACATCATGACCAAGAAGCAAGTTGGAGAGGAAAGGGTTTATTCAGTGTTCGCTTCCACATTGCTGTTCATCACCAAAGGAAGTCAGGACAGAAACTCACACAAGGCAGGAACTTGAAGGCAGGACCTGATGCAGAGGCCATGGAGAGGTCCTGCTTACTGGCTTGTTTCCCCTGGCTTGCTCAGCCTGCTTTCTTATAGAACCCAGGACCACCAGGCCATGGGTGGCACCACCCACAACAGGCCCTCCCACCCTTGATCACTAATTGAGAAAATGTCTTACAGCTGGACCTCATAAAGGCATTTCCTCAAGGGAGGCTCCTTTCTCTGTGATAATTCTAGCTTGTGTCAAGTTGACACACAAAACTAGCCAGTACATCTGGCCTCTTTCTCCTTTTGTTTCTGGGGTAGGAGGGATGGGGATGTCCTCTGCTTGTCTTCTAACCTTACTTCTGAGGTTAGGCATGAGAAAGGGAAAGAACAGTTTTCTGCTCCATGGTCAGCTTTTCATCCAAACCCTGTTTTCAGACCAGCTTTCCCCTCTGTCTCCCACACATCCTCCCATCCCTGAATCTGGGCCCTTGTGCCTGTGCCTTCAGAGACTAAACCTGTGCCCTCCTAGGCATAGGGGTATGGGGTTTTGTTTGTGGTATACAAGACATCTGAGGGCCAGCCAGTGATCCATAATCAGACTTTTGGCTGATGCACTGCTGTGTGTGCGTGTGTGTGTGTGTGTGTGTGTGTGTGTGTGTGTAAGGACTCAGTGAGACTATGCCATAGACTTCCTTCTTGTCTTCTAGGAACCTGTCCCCTAAATACTGCTCACTCTGTCCTATAAACCCTGCAGTTCCCCTCCCTGATCATTTTCCATGGAATGCAGAACTTTATAATCTGCTTCAACAGAAAATCCACCTGTGAAAGGAAACCTCCCAACCTTATCCTAAGACATACCTAAAGGCACAAAACAGCATTCCCAATGGGTAACAGCAATGTGCTACCTCCAAGTCGGTGGCTGCCCCCAGAGCAGGCCTGGAATTCCACTCTAGGTCTTTCCTAACTGTGGCTTTCTGTTGCAGCCTTGCCTGGGGATCTTTCGCTCTCTGTATGGCGGTGTCAGTGGCAACCATGAGCAGATACACCACAACCCAGGCAGAGATGCCAAGGGCACAGAAAGGCAATCCATACCCTCAGCACAACACCCCACAGCCTGAGGCTTCACAGAAGGTTTGGCAAACAGGAGCTGCTCCCCATCCTGTGGGACAAGTCTTTGCGAATGTTCCTGGGCACTGGCCCCCAGGTACAGGAAGCAAAGTGTCCGTGTGCTAGCCAGTGCTGCACATGCAGATGAGCCAGGCATTTATTACTACAACGAACACCACTGGAGTGGAGTTCAGAAGACCATGGTGTAGGCAAGCTTTCTGCTACCCCTCTCTGGTCTTAGCATCTCATGTCTCCCACAATTCCTGTATCTTTAGAGGAGATAATGTCTACAGAAGATATCAACTATTAACACTCTAGTATAGAGGAACATCTGAGGCTTCTCTGGCTCTGGGTTTAATAAATATCCCAAAAGGAGTTGGGTCATGAAAATATTAAGGGAAAAATGATGAAGGGAAGAACTCCTCATCTCTTACAGCAGAAGCAAAATATGCCACCCACATAAATTCAGTGACAGACAAACCTGGAATATTTTTTCTCTAGTTGATGCACAAAATATGAGGCCATACTGTACATTTTAATTTTCATTAAGAAGACAGAAATTTTAAAATCAGTTATGTTGCCTAAAAATATTCTTTGCAGGGTGTAGAGACCCAGGCCTTTGAACTCACAACTCAGGAGGCAGAGGCAGGTGGATTTTTGTGAGTTCAAAACTAGCCTTGTTTACATAGCCAGTTCCAAGACAGCAGAGCTACATCATAAAGGGACTTGATCTCACAATAAATTCCTGATATCTACTCACAATGAAGCTAGTCTGGAAGGACCGGGAAGTGACAGAAAAAAAATGACGTGACATCTTATCACAGTGAAGTGGAGCAAATGTTTGGATTGTGCTGCTTACGTTAAATCACCAGGCATTCTTGCATCTAAAAATAAACTCTGCCAAGCATGCAGGCCTTGTGGGAGGTGGCACTGTGCTCAGGACTCCCTGGTGCATTCAGTTACGACACTGCATGATTCTATCCGCTGTCTTAAACTGCATGAGATTAAGCCACAGGTTGTCAGGCATGTGGAGCATTTTGGAAAGGAATAGAGACTGCCAAATCCCAAGAACCTTGAACACGTCCTAGCCCAGAGTAATTTTTTTTAAAAAATTACATGTATTTGTTTATGTAGTTATTTTGTGTGTGTGTGTGCTCATGCCACAGTTCACTGGTGGAGGTCAGAAGACAACTTGAATTGAGTCCTTCTACCATGTGGATTCCAGGGTCAGGTCCTCAAATTTGATGTCAAACTCTTTGCCTGATGAACCATCTCACCAGCCCCTCAGAGTCATTTTGTTGTTGTTGTTGTTGTTGTTTGCTTAGTAAATATGTTTCTGGGGGGAAAGCTAGATGTCTACAATAAAACACTAATTTGTGCTAAAATTAAATTATACTATCAAAGAGTAATGGGGAAATTTTCAACTAGTTTCTTCATGTTTAAGATTCAGGTTGAAAATCTGTCTGGTAATTGTTGGTCCCGTGTTTTGTTGTCCAGTGCTTCAAACCCAGCTTCTTCCATCTCAGAGGTGAGCATCAGTGTCCTCAGGCCCTTAGTCCTCCCAGAACAGAAGGACTGATACCTGATAACCTCTGCCCTTGGCAGCATGCGGCTTCGTCCATAGGGTTCATCACCCTGCATATGTGTGCAGGGAGATCCTGACTGACTTCCTGGTGTTAAGCCTAATCTAGTCCCAGAGAAGAGCAAATCCTTAGAAATGTTCCCCAAGAGACACTTGACTGTTGGATGAATCTGAGAAGCCTACAGCTGATGATGCCACGGAAGAAATGAATCTTTTGTAGTCATGTGAAGGAAGCTGATGTCAAAGGAGCCGGTAGCTGATGCAGATGTTGGGGGGAAGCTGGAGTCAAAACACATTCTTGAGCTCTGAAGGCACCAGCTCTCTTTTAAAATCTTAAAAATATTGATTGTGCAGGTGTGGTAGTGCATGCCTATAATCCCAGCACTGAGACAGGAGGATGATGAGTTTGAGGCCAGCCCAAAGTACACAGTAAGGTTATCTCTGAAATGGACAAATGTACTGACATTGAAGCATAGCACACAAACAGACAGGTGTCTAAATTACATTTGTGCAGCAGAAGGCATTTTCAGAAAGGGAACATTTGCCCCGGCGTGACCCTATTGCTGGTCAAGAAACAAATCTGTGTCTGCCAGAACACACACACTGCCACATTTTAATTCTTCAGTGTATTAAAATGATTTCTTTACGTTTCTGTCCCCTCACACAGATCATAAATTTATTTGGTGAGTCTATGTAAACATTGCTCCTTATATCACCAACATCTAAATTAATGTTTGACATGTGTGTGTGTGTGTGTGTGTGTGTGTGTGTGTGTGTGTGTGTGTGTGTGAAGGATCAACACAAGCACACACCCCTACCAGGTAGCCTTCTAAAAAATCATTTCATGAGAAATAATATGTCCATGACTAACAACAGGAATTCTACAGCCAGATAATCTGCTTGTTTTGGTTTGAATGTAAAAGGGACCATTATGTTAAAGAGTTGGTCCCCACCTAGGGGCACAATTGAAAGTGCTTGGATCATGAGGGCACTAACTTCATGGATGGACTAATTGATGAGTTCATAGCTGGATGAGTTATTATGGGCTGGGTCCTTGTACAATAAATCAACTACTTGGGGTATATGTGACTGTGAATGGTAGTAAAAATCTCAGTGGTCCTGTCACAGAGACAGCCAAGGATAAGGGATAAACACCCACTGGCTATTTTAACAAGAAAGCTCTCTGTCCTCAGTTGACCCATCAGTGAACTTTATCAGGTGTCTACAATGCCACATGAACCATGCCATCTCTCAGGCATGGAAGAATTTAGAATTCCAGCTGAGGCCAGTGCTTGAAGAACCATTCAATGAGGCTGGACTAGGAAGCTTTCAGTTTCTTAAACGTAGACAAGGAATGTGTAGCTAGAGCCCTGGATGTGTCTCACAGGTGGGACTAAGACTAGCTTGTCTCTAGTGGCCAGTTACAGAAAAACTTCAGTCTTGTATGACAAGAAAGAGCAGATTTTATTTCATTTCATTTCTTATTTTTTAATTATAAAATTAGTTTGCTTTAAGCTACAGGAAATAACAGGACAGACATTCCTGTACCCATCGCTCAGCTTCAACACGAGTGTTTCCTGCCACTCATCTCCCTTTATGAGAAAAGAAATAAAATATAAGATGAACAGCTAGAACCTCCCTCCCACCTTGTTCTCTCCCAAGACCCACGCAGTACCTGGGAACCACAGGCATTACTCCTCTGCATGACTGAACATGTTTGTCCCCTGTAGTTGTTTCCACAACCACACAAACCCTGTCTCGAGAAAAAAAAATCACAGGAATAAAACCAACTAATTCTAGTGTCTCTTGAAGGATGTCAGATCATTTCCTTTCCACTTTTTTTATTGGGTTAAGTAAGATACAACACACAATTTTCCCTTCCTGCCCATCTCAAGTGTGTAGGTCAGTGGCATCAAGAACATTTACATAGAAGTGTAGCCATCTCCACTGTCCTCCCCGGAATGCCTTCCTCTCCCCAGGTGGAGCTGTGTACCCATTAAACACTCACTAGCCTCTCTCCTTAACTCCTTGCAAGCAGTGTCTCTTCTGCCAACAGGAATCTGACCACTCTGGGAACCTCACAAATGTGAGATCATACAGTATTTGTCTCTTTACAGCTGGATTATTTCACATAAGAGAATGTCCTGGGGCACAAGTATGTTGCCTGTGTCACGTTTTCTTTTTTTTTTAAGGATGAATAATATTCCATACAATTATTTGTGTCAGAAGTCAGTCTGCCCTTTCAACCCACAGGAGCTAGTCCAACAATCCCTGGCCCATCCAACCTTGTTTCTACCTCCCTGCCAGCCATCTCCCCTATGCATGAAGGCCTCCATAGATAGGGTACCCATTGCAAAGGATCTGTTAGAGCCACTTTGCACAACAAATCAAGTCTTATTTCAAGCCAGAAGGAAAAGAGCAAGCTAACTGACATATCAGCCTAGACACCTTGCATGTAAGGCAAAGGGTAACACTGTTTAGAAAAGCAGATACACACACACACACACACACACATTGCCTCATTCAGCACCATCATCCTCACCTGTGACCTTCAAGAATATCACACAGCTCAAAGACTTACAGAAGATGGCATTTCCTATGTTCATAAGGACAGCCCTTATCCTTCTGCCAAACATACCCAATGTCCTCAGGAATGGTTCTGCTGCTCACTGAGGGAAGACATGGAAAAGAAGTAACATCAACAAGAGGAGGGCATTTCTCAACCTGTGGGTCATGACCCCTTTGGGGGTCAAATGACTCTTTCACAGAGGTCACCTAAGACTATCAGAAAACAGACATTTACATTAAGATTCATAACAGTAGCAAAATTACAATTATGATGTAGCAACAAAAATAATTTTATGGTTGGGGGCTTACCACATTAGAGACTGTATAAAAGGGATACAGCATTAGGAAGGTTGAGAACTGCTGAAATAGAGAAAGACCTGCCAGGAAGAAGGAGAGACTGGAACAGCCCTAGTGATGGACCAGACCCTGTCATAGTGCTAAAAACACACCATGTCTTACACCCGATTCTCCACAGGATGCAGTGTGGAGTATGAAGTGTCCCTTATCTAAGACACTTGAGGGTAGGGATGCTTCTGGTTGATTTGGGGGAGTTTTGTTTGTTTGTTTGTTTATTCATTTGCTTGCTATATAAAATAAGGTATCTTAAGAAAGAGACCCAAGCCAAACATGAAATCCCCGAGTTTCGTGTCCATCTTATCCACACAGCCTGGGAGTTAGTTTATGCCATAATTTAAATCATTTTGTACGTGACATAGAGCATCACAGATGAATATTTCTACTTGTGTCACATTAACACAAAAAGTTTGGGATCCACAGCATCAGATCTCTGGATTAGGACAGCCCAACGTGGGATGATCACTCTGCACTGTCAGCATCCCCACTTCTTACATTTGGAAGGTTGAAGTCTGGATCCTAGCAGGCCACCTTCCATCCCCGCTCCTCCGTCTCCAGGTGGCGCTGGTATCAGGCAGAACACTTGGTTTTCTATATGGATGAGTGCAGGGTCAGGGAGGCTGGACAGAAGGTGCCGAGGGAGCACAATGCTCTGATTCAGTGATGAACTGCATGTGCCAAAGCTTCTAAGTCTGCAGTTCAGAGCTTGGTGTGACTATTGCTTGGGACAAAAGGGAGAAAGTGGGCAAGATCATCCCAACCTCGAGGGCACTTCTCCCACCCCAGGCTTTCCAGGATGGTTCCAAACATCCATGTATCTAAACTGATTTGTTCTTGATGCTCAGATTAGAACATACTGTGATTTCAGAGCTGCTGTATAGCTCAGTGGTAGATGGCTCGTCAAGCA